CAAATAGCGTCTGCTGGAGACCTAGTGACCTCAACGAAGTCACAAGTAGTATAATTCGCTTATCTATGTGATAAATTAAGCAATTTTTTTTGCAGGGAGAACCCGTAACATCTACAATATCGGTGGGTTATCTAGTAATACAACTGAACCAAAAGTTAATGTGGGAAACGCATATTAAAAACATTGTCAAACGGACTTGGAATGTACGCACTGAAACATCTCCTCGCCGGTAAAACCATCCCTCCCCATGAGAAGCGACTTGATCATAAAGCCTATCTGACAATACGGTCTATATGATCATCTGCATCCGATTCACAAAGTAAAAAGGTGCAAACCATTAAGAACCTTATCCCCTGGTTAATAATAAATGCTCCGTGGTATGTTCGGAACCAAACTAACCACAAAGACTTGGACATCCCTAACGTTAACATCAAAGACACCTACAGTCGATACCACTGGTCCATCACCCCGACCTACTGATGTGACCCAGATGAGCAAATCAAGTGAGGAAAATCGCGTTTGTCTTCCTACACGTTTCAAGTCATATTTTAAATTTAATACACGACCACAACTGTAATGTCCTTTGGCTCAATAAAGTATAAAAAGGCGGAAAAAATTAAATGCTGAATAATAATCAGTCAACTTTACTAATAATATTGCAAGCACGATTAAACATTCGCGGTCTGCTGTAAAAACCACATTAACCCTGTAAAATGGTACGAGTTAATTGAGATTGATTATTGATTGAATATTCTGGGAACCGCCTAGCCTCGCTCTTTTGGCCTGCCTGATGCGTTACGACATAACTTTAAATAAAATTGTGAATCAAAGCAGAGAATATTTTCTTTTAACGGAACTATTTAATCACTTTCCTTTCCTTCAAAAGCCATACAAATTATTTCCCAATTGGGACTAAACAGTAAATTTTAAACGTTTTGAACCCTGATGATGTAAACGCGGAAAGCGGGACCTGAAACAATTTCCTTCAGAGACCATAATGATTATGTGGAATATCGACCAGTGGTATATAGTGTAAGATGTGTATCTGGTATATGGTCACCATTAAAAAGAACAACTCCAATCACTTGCCAAGCTTTCGACCTTTATAAGACCATTTTCAGAGCAGTATGGCACCTTAGACGTTAATTACATTAGTTTACTTGCAATTAGTGTGGTTGCCAGCAGGTTTTCAGAATTGAAAACAGTTCTCTAACTAATGGATTTTGTGTTAAATGTGATGGTTCTAAATCTAAAAACTTGGATTTAAAAAAAAAAAAAACTACACCTATCATTTGGTAGACTCAGCTGTTAATAGATATCCATCATCGTGAGACCATATATTTCATCTGGTTTTTACGCATTTACTGTACAACAAAAAAAAAGGTAAACCATCTTCATTTTGCAGTTTGGTCTTTATTGGCATATCTTGTGGTCTGCCTAGTTTACCTGTTTTTGGAGGTCAGATGCATTTCGCTACTATCTTCAGTATGTAAATGGGTGTTTTTTTTAATTTCACACAAGAATTAAAAGCTCAAGCTGGCCATAAGCCAAAACACCTACGACGGCCAAAACAAAGTGGCTAGGCCTGACCAGAATGAACAAATAGCACCAACTGCATAATCATCAGCATTCAGCCATCAACTAATATTTATATAAATGCACAATACTCTGCAGATTTTATACTTAGTCTAAAAAATTCCATAAGAGCTTGAATTAAAATTACACTGGAAACGACTAAAAAATTCGTCTGATTGAACAATAACTATGTAACAACTACGATCATGATGAACTGTTGCGGGTCGACCCCCAGTTGGTTCAAACCGAAAATTCTTCACCAAGCTTCTTCTTACGTACATAACCGACGAAAAGGAAGAAAATTACAGGACGTTCCGGAATTGTATATGACACGTTCATTACGGAAGAATCAGTGTAGCAATCATTCGACTACTCCAGTCCTTGACATCTACACATCCAATTGTACCCGTTACACAACACATGTGCGGTTGTCGATGTTTATTTATTTATTTAAATATACGGATTATTATCCTTTTGACAAAAATATAAGTTTCATAACTAAATAGTTAATATCGACTAGGAACATAATTTATAAAAAATATATATAAAATACTCTGTTTAGGAGGTTGTTGATATCAGGCCACAATAAAATTTTATTGTGGCCTGATATTATCAACCTCCTAAACAGAGTATTAAAGCTGCTGCCCTCACCGCTATATCGTATATAGCGATAATATAAAATATATAATATGTAAGTGAGAATGAAAACATTAAGATAAGCATTCAGAAATGAAAATATAACAAATATATATATCCATCAAAGAATAATATAGATACTGAAATAATACAATTAAATGGACAAAAATAGACATTTTGTAACATTTGAATAATTTTAATTTTGAATTGGGACCTTGACATGTTAAAATAATTTATGCGAAGTTGAAGCTGATTTATTTATTGGTCGGAGGGCTCTGCGAATAGAAGAATGTAAGACATTTCTTTTATAGAATTAAACTTTAAATAGATAATTATTTCGAGTATTGACACTGGGAACATAGAAAGATACACCAGCTAGAAGATCGGACTATCTGTTATTCTAGTTAAATATCATAAATCTAGGGAGCATCATATAATTTTCTCCTATTAGAACGTCGTGTTTATTTAGAAATTTTTTGTTTAAATCCAATGTATCCTAAACATTTTCAATGTATTTTTTTCAATAGCCTTAATATCCATGAAATAATGGGGAGACCAAATGGGAGTAGAAAATTGAAAATGAGGCCCTATAATTGATTGCGACATATAATTTTGCAGTGATATAATCAATATGACCATTAAATGAGAGAGATGAGTTGAATATAACTCCCAAGTCCCTAATCAAATTACTAAGTTGCTAGTTGTGTATTTTTTAAAGAATATTGGAAAAACTTTTTTGAAGGCCCAGTAAATATAATTCACTTACACTTATCAATGTTCAGATTCAATGAAAACTTTTGTAATTAACTTCAACACCATGAATGAAACTTTTATCATTTTCTTAAAGTCGTCGCACCATATATCATATTATTATTAATAATAAAATTATTTCATTCCATCTCTATTATAGATGATTGTCTTACTCTTCAGCAGCATTCACTAGACAATTTATATAAATGGTGCTATTAAAATAACATGTCTTTGAACTTGGACAAAAGCTCTATTATCACTAGAAATTATGAATGATGGAGTGGGTGTGGAGTTCAATCCTTTTTATAAAGACGGTTCCTACTCACAGTAAGTACTTATTGTGAGTAGGAACCATCTTTTTTAAAGGATTAAAGCTCTATTATCACTTGTTACAAATGTTTCTTTTCAATGTATGATTAATGAAACTCATTTAACAAAACCATCCGGCTTTAAATCTTAAGGAATATGGCAATTAACATTCAACCTTCACATAAAAGCCGTTTGCAAAAGGGCATTCAAACTACTAGGATTCCTTTACTCCTCCCATGACTTCACAGAAACCACCCTGCTTTATTATAGAGTATGATAGTTCTGTTTGGTCTCCACACACCAATATCAACATCCAAATGTTAGAAAAATTATAAGCAAAATTTCTGAAACACTTTTGAAAATTCCACGATTGAAGAGACCATTTGTGGTGAACTTGGATTCATTTGTCCACAGGATGTAAGGGAGAACGTGTTCTGTATCCCAAATCGACATAACTGAAAAGAACATTAACAGTATATCAAAATCAACGTCCCGAAGCCCCTGGACCAGATGAGAGCGGTACGGTTTAAAATTGTATGTTGTGAGGACATCACTAATCTTGCTCTTTGAAAAACCTAAAACCCTTCCAGCCTTTAAAAAGGGAGGAGTGTGAATTTTCGAGAGCAGACAACAAAATATGCTACCCAACTGTATTGATATTAATAATAGATTTATAGCCAGTATGAAGAGGAATTTGTGGTAACTTGTACAACGGCCAATTAGTACATCTGGTGTATATAATATGTGAATGCATAATTAATTAATTTTATTTACAATTGTTTTTATTTACTAGTCCAAATATTATTATTTTACTCAAATATTGGTATCTAAATTATACTGTATGTTATTATTTTATTATTGCTAATGTTTAATATTTCAATGTTTTTCATGGTTTAAATACTCTTTGTCTTCTTGTAATTATTGTAATAAAATGGGCTATTGCTCGTAAATAAATAAATTTTACAGAAGATTTTTAGATCATTGGCCAGCCATAAAACATTAGCATCTAAAAAGATATCAACATCTTAGCTTGTTTGCAACAATTTAAAAAATAATGAAATAAATTTTATGTGAATATTTGAATTAATTGTACTTTTTAATCTAAGGTCTTGGTTGAGATGAAAAAATTAAGGGTCAGGAGTGGCTTGAGGCTAACTTTTTCACCTCAACCAACAAAACCTTGGACAGAAAGTATAATTAATTAAAATAATTAATACGGTCAATTATGACTATTAAACATATATGGATTTATGTGAATAGTTTCTCCATCAAAACACGATATCGGGGGGGAAATAAGTTCGATCGTCGGTGAAACGACACTATGTCAAGGGTAGGACAAAAGAGATGACCCCAAACTCTAGTTTCATCAAGTTTTCGTTTTTTATGACATTATTTATTTTTTTTTTTATTAGATATTTTAACTGAATTATTCGTGACACGCGAATTGAGCCTGACTTAGCAAGAAAATCGAAAGTGTCAAGGAAGTTAGAAGGGTAGCATAATTGTTATTCAAAACTTGACCTTTACAGGGTTTAAATCAGTTTTTCTTTCTTTTGACGGTTTAGGGGAGCAGGTTTTCAGCTTGAAGGTATGAAACGTTTGACGATCCGAGTATACTATGGAAGCAGAAGCTGCTTCTTTTCATCCTGGTAGTAAAAGCGTCAAAAGTGCATCTCTTGTCCACCGGCAAAGATAAAAAGCTCGGCGAGTGAATAAGAAATAAAACGCACCTTCTTCTCCTGGGAGAGGTAGTAGACGACGACGAACATCCAGGCGACGGAGAAGACGAGGAGGACCTTGACGTTCCGCCTCATATCGGCTCCTGCTGTAAAGCGCGGGTCGGTGAGGAAAAAAGCGGCGCGGACTCTCCCGAGCGTTATCTAAACGTCATTTCAGGGCGAAACGGCGGCTTCGCCAGGGCCAAGGAACGGTGGACGACTGACGGATCGGAACGGGCCGCAACCTCCCACCGACTGGTCCCTGGTAGCGCAGCTGATCGCCATCTGCCTCGCCGAAGAGGAAGGGACGCGAGCCGCGTGGGGCAGCACAGACCGGGCGGAGACCAGCTCGCGGTTCAAACTCCACGAGCCCACTACCTACATTTAACATTTAATTCTCCCATTTGAAATGGATATGTTTGATTTTGATTAAAATACTGAGGCATGCCCTACAAGAACACAATGGTACAACCTCTCCCAAGTCAAAGCTCACAAAAACCCTCTATAAATAATTTGGAATGTCATTTCTCGCCCTACACAGAGCTTTCAAATGTAAAATCAACTAGCCGTAGTTTTAACAATTGTACAACTTTCCATAAAAAACTCCAAAGCAAACATTGTAATACAAAATAAACATATAATTTATAAAATCTGCTTCGTTTCGGCTGAAGCTTATCTTTTCTGATTTGGTGAAAATTTCTGGATTCTCATTAAATTATCAGAATACACCCAGCACAATTTCTCCAGTAAAAAATGTACCATTTTAATTAATTAATCAGTATTTGACTTACATTTGTGGGGGGGTCTCTTACAATTATGGTGAATAAAACCCATCCACTTCTAATTTATACATAACTATTTTCCTAACTAGCCAGACAAAAAAATATAAACAGCATATGAATTGAATAAAATGAGTCCACTGTCCAAACTTTAATAGATTTCAACCAGGCTTTCTATTTTTTCCTAAAATTTTTTGATTAAGATAAATGGATAAAAATGCATAGTTGGCTCCACAGTGAAATAGAAAATTAAGGTTGAAAGAAACAGTTACTCCGTTGTAGTTTTATTTAGAGACGGCGTTTCAAGCTATAAGCCATCTTCAACATTCCAAGGGTAAAATTTTGAGCTGATACCCAGCAATCAATACAGTTAATATCAAAGTTGTACGTAAAACTGTAGGCAGAATGGAACAGTGGGCAATGGAAAATTAAAATCGAGTTGGGGCATGTTACACTGTAGATGAATGCATGTTGCACATGCTTCGTTTTATGTATAACTTTGACATTAACCGTATCGATTGCTGGTTGTCATATCTCAAATTTCTACACTTGGAATGCTGAAGGCTTTATAGCCCAAAACACCGTCTCTGAATAAATTAAACTGCCATAGAATACTATGTTTCATTCTATCTTGATGTTGGATACTATCCTAGTTCAGTGCAATCAGCTCAATCCTTCTTCCCAGAAGTATTAGGTCATTAACTGTTTTTTTTTGTATCCTAGATTGTCTCCAAAAAAACTGTTGCTTCACATTTGAATACAATATGGGTGGCTGTTCTTTCCTTCTCACTGCATAATAAGCAAATGGAATCATCGTTGAATATGCCCATATTATTTATGTAGATTTTTCTCAGATTGCTTGTTCTCATTGCTTCTGTGATACGTACGGTTTGCTAAACTTTGTGTTTTTGGATAGCTAGTTTTTGTTGAGCTTTGGTCCACCAGATTCTTTCAACCTTAATGTACGAATGAAATAATCATTACATTAAAAATTATGAGCTTTGAAATCTACATGGTAATGGACCTGTAGATAGTTTATATCCTTTTCACAGTTTGTAAGTTTCACACTCCAAAATCTTGTGGGCAATCTGTGTGAAAAAACATAGCTTAAAATTGTGAAACAATCTAACAAACCACAAGATTGAACATCAAAAAACGACCGATTAAAATTTGGAGATTTGAACGTTCAGTGATATACTAAAAAAAAGGTGATTTATGAGCAAACAGATATAAAATCCATCAACTGATCATCAGGATGGAAAAGACCACTTTTCATTCAGTTTAAATTGTGAAATGACTTGCATCTGACGGACCAATTAATGTTACAGTTAACAGCATGAATTAATGTTACAGTTAACATTTTTTTAAAATTTTTATGCAAAATATGAGAGTTGAAAAATAAGTTTCACAATCAGGACTCAACCCATGATCTGCGGATCAATATCCCAAAGTATCACTAATGTTTCAATTCAACCACACTTTGCATAAAATTAATAAATAAATTAAAATAATTACTTTGGTTCATAAGACCAGCCAAAACTTATTAAAAAGATTTATGTTAAGACTGTAACCTTTCCAAGCAGAACCTTAATTAGAGATATTGGTCCTTCACTCACCTGCGTTCGAGTCTAACAACTGGATTCTCAATTCTATTTTAATTAGATGGGAGTTAAGACCATTCAATAAAAGCTCAGCAATAAACCAAAAGCTATCATTTAATACAATAAAAATCAATAGTAATTAAAACTATACTAATAGTAATTAATTACAAACACTTTAGTAATTTAAATGTTTTACTTGTGGAAGTCTGTTTTAGAACTGAAATTCTTACCTCCTATTTTCTTCTACTCTAGTTGATCCAGTTCCTACTACAATTTAATAAAAAGCACATTTGAGCAGCAGTTCAATTCTTCAATTTGTTGTACTTAATTTTTCAACAGAAACAGTAAATACCATTTTTGATTAATTCTAATTGCAGCATTGTGCAAAATTTTTTCAAAAAATCTTACACTTGTAAGATATTACATTGTGGAACATCTCAGTCAAGAATGTTTCTCAAATTGAAAATTTAAGAAAAAATCAATAAATTGAATAAAAAGGTCAGTTTGCAATTTATTTAATAAAAGGTCATTATGAATAAAAGAGACAAAAATTTCGTTTTTTTTTGTTTTTGTTTTTATTTGACAAGATTTTAGAAGTGGTGTGAGAAAAAATAAGGATGACTGTTAAATATAAAACAAAGGTCTACATGTCATGGCAGTCTATCATTTTTGGAGATGATGTTTTAAATTTCTTTATAATAAAAATATAAAACAAGCAAATTGTAAAAACAAGGGTCAATACGTAAAACTAAAAAACCTTTGGGTTGCATTTTGCGAAGTGGCGTTCCTAGGTGGAAAAATACGAAGTAATACTGAGGTCATATCATCAGGCGGAGTTTCCACCAAGGAAATATTGTTTTAATTGTCACTACGTCGCTGCATGCTTTCCCTTAGTTATACAAACTTTTGTACACTTATAAAACAAAAAAGATCCTAACTTTATATTTAAAAATTGAATTAAAAGATGAAAAATGGATAGTAAATAATTTAAACTTCACAAAGAAATGCGCAGTAGTATCGAAGTTGTTGAAGTTAAAAATCGCTGACTAAAGTGATCGCACAGGTAGCGTGCAATCGCCTACAATGTCGTAGCTTGTTGAAGTTTTGTCATAGAAACATTGTGTTCAGTGGACCTGACTGAAATCATACAAGATGACACACATCTCTGCTTAGAATTTCCCAAAAGAATACAACACACAATTATTATGCAAATAAAAACAGTTTTGTTAATTTTTCATCTGCACAACTACCCAGCAATTGAACTGAGGCAACCCTCCAATTTTACGTTTAGGACGATTTCAAAGTTTTTGTTATATTGTTTCAAATAGATAATTACTGCTCATTTTAAATAACTTTTCGCTGAAAGATTTTTTTTCTTTTTAAATTAAACTTTTAATCCCACAGAATTTATTTTATTTTATTATTATTTTTTGACGAAGGACTAAGATAAACATTGTTGATGTGAGCAGTGGAGCGGAGCATCGTAAATGAAAACAGGAGGTTTTTCTTTTGCTGATGGAGTAGAGGCAGAATGTCTATTTTAATGAAAAGTCATAAAAGTTTCGATGTTGTGTACCTTTTGCGTTTTCACTCAGGGGCTCAGTAGCCTCCTGAATTGTTGAACGTATTGCGACGATATGAGCTGGTCCTGCCAAAGCCGTCGCCGCCGAAATCTTGTCGACCCCCACCACCACTGCTATAACCAAATAGAGACATTTTGATGTTTTGAAAACTTCTCGTTGGTTCTATAATTACGTTGTGACCCGAATTCGGAGTCGCAGTTTGTTAATAAGGTAATAGGAACCTCAACATCTCAGAATGGATGGATTTTAATTAATACATTTCTGGCAATTTACAATGAAACAGGCATTCCATACCAGTCTGGTTAGTTGAGGCACTGCTAATAGTCCTCACTTCATGAAATAAATAATAATACAACCTCACAATCAATAAAAATTATAATAAAATAATAAAAATTCTACTAATCAGCTAAAACCTATTGTTCACTTTGCAAGTTCATTTCTAACATTACATTTTGTTTTTCATGTTAGCCTAAATTTATTCAAAAGTGGATAAATACATTATATTATCTCAACGAGGAATGACTAGCTAACTGGAATGACAATGTGTAGGTTCTACAATAAATTAAAACGTACAAACCACAACCTAAATTCTAAAATACCTAAATTTGTAGTTTGATCTAAGCTGGTCGAATCTAACCGAGCAGTCTCAGCAGACTAATCCTACTCCGAAGTTTTGGTTTCAGTATAATATATTTTCAGCAAAATAACAGTATGAGATAAAAGATATGACTACTAATACTGGTACCGAAAATTCACAGAGACAAAGTGCTAACAGTATATCTTCAACTTTTTCAATTCTGAATTTTGGTTTATTTATTGCAAAATATGAAAAATATGTACTCAACATGAACCATTAAATGTCAGCAGTTTGTTCAAAACATACATACCAGCACACAAACACACATGAAAAATAAACTTTCAAACACTAATTAATTAATAAAAAAAGCTTCAACCACTTAAATAGTCCTATTGATGTATTCCCTAATCCAAATCACAAGAGCTACATATGACAATAAACCTATGAAATATTTTTATTTTTTCGAATTATTGTAAAAGACTCAAAGATGAATTAATATTGAAAGACTAGAAGTGAAACCTGAAAGTGAATTGGAATGCAGTTTGGCCTAGTAAGTAAAAACAGTTAAGATTTAAATAAATTGTAAAATAAAATCATTCAGAGTCCATAACTATAAAATCAAATATTATAAAATTAAATTAATAAAAGAAAAGCAATATGTGAAACTTACAATATACAGCTCTAACTAACAATATAAGTTCCTAAGCAAAATTTGAAACCAAAACTAATTTGAAATTTTGAAGTGGGGAAAAAATGACAATTGATAAATTCATACAATAAAAACAAAATGTATGTTGTAATAATAATCAATATGTAAATGAAATAAGATTTCGAATGTATAAACAATCACCTAATTTCGGTGATACAGTGGAATGGAAATTAATGATGGGGTTTTAAATAGTAAATTAGGAGAATGCAAACGATCGAATACTTCGAAGGGATAATTGTCTTTAAAATTTAGATGAGTCGGATTGTAATTACCTGAACCTGTTATTGACAGGCGAGCGACTCCTGAACCTAGGCTCCCTACTGTATCCATTGCTCTGGAAGTTTCTACCGCCTGGAGGCCCTGAGTCCTTTGGTCCTCTGAAAGAATCCCCCCTGGAAGACTGAAAACCGCCGCCGCCCCTACCCCTGAAACCACCTCCGCCGCTGCCACCGCGACCCCCTCCGCGACCACGACCACCCCTGAAACTTCCGCCACCGGGGCCTCCACGGTCATCTCTACCGCCTCCGCCGCCGCCGCCACCTCCTCTGCCTCTTCCCCCACCTCTACCACCTCCTCCACGGCCACCCCTTCCTCTTGAAATTTCTACCCTTAACGTCGTGCCCAAGAGTTTGGAATTGTTCATCGCCTCACAGGCAGTTTCGGCGTCCCGCCTTTCAGCGAATTCAATGAAAGCGAACCCAGGGGGATTGTATGCAACCCAAACGCTATTTAGTTTGCCGTATTTTTCGAATTCTATTTCAAGATCTTCCTTCTTAATTTCGCCATCAAGGCCACCCACATAGACCCTTGTTCCAACATTCCCTCCTCTCGGACCACCTCCTCCTCCGCCACCACCACCTTCATAATTTCGCATCTGAAACACACAAACAATTTATAGCAAATTGGAAACTTCACATTCCCCCTCACCAATCATACTATGACCATGAATTTATGTACGGAATAAAGTGTGAAAGTTTTAAAATTGCATTAGACAATTATTGTGTCTAAAATTGTTTGCACCCACCACCAAATAAAATTAATCGATTTTAAATTGTAATACCTCGCCTCCCTGCGACCCATAATCTTGAAAATTGTGCATACCGTTGGAATGTCAATACTTTGTTCTAAAAAAAGACAAAGAAAAACAAAAAAGAAAAATAAATAGTGCATAATATGTATAACTGAAATTAAACAAAATATTTTAACAAAGAAAAATAATATATGTAATGAATAAATAATTCAATAAATCAGGAAATGTCTAATTGGAATATTTTAGTCAGTTTATTTGCTCTTCTGAAACCATAATAATTCAATGAAGAAAATATGGTAGTAAGGCAGTACAAATTCGTAAGAGATCATCAGAAATCAACAACCATGTAGAATTGCACAGGCCTCAATACATTGTGCCCCCTTCATTCGGATGAAGTCACGGATATTCACGAAACCACTACAATTTCCTTGTGATCAAAATAATTTTGTTTTTTTGTTGGTTGTACAATCTTTCTACCCGTGCCTCTACCGTTTTGTGTCGTCAAATAGTTTTATTGTTTATTATGTTTATTATGTTTTCCTGTGGAGAAATGCGTAGACAAAAGTTCAAATATTTTCACAGTCTCCCTTCAACAGCCTTCAAAAAATAAGCAAAGTAGAGCTTGCCATGTGGGTGAATTTAATTTTTTTTTAAATCTCCTCATACGTTCTAACAAATTCACTGTTCTCATTTCTTGATTGTAAATAATCGTGAATCCACCCATGTTTTTGTAACGGTTTCTGCCCACAGAAATTGTAAGGCAGGAGTACATTAAGCAATCACATTCTGAAGAATTTAACTTTTAAGTTCATAATTTTCTACTGAAACCTGAAAAAGTATTAAAAAAGTACAATTCTTTAATGACTCAAAACGACAGCTTCTTGTACAAAAAAAATCAGGATTTCACATGTAGTCATCAGCACACCCTGAAGACCTTATTAAAAAGAGTATTATGGGCAGATTCAGACAAAATCTTACATGTTAATTTTCACCGTTCTTACATTGTAACTGCAGCTTTATTCATTTATCCATCAAATTACTCCAAACAGAACCAAAACCCCATAGGATAGGACAGTCAATTAAATACTCATATTCGTTATTATAAATAATTAAAATATAAAAAATAATAGTAATCACAAAAAATGCCTTATGAACAAAATAAAGCTAAATACATAAAACAAGACAATAAAATAGAAAATAAGTAAAAAGAAATTACAGATTAAAATCTGGATTATAAAAACTTTGTAAGCTTTTCAAACTTTTCATTTTTTTACGTACATGCATTTCGAGGTCCACCTTCATCTCCTCCTCAGTACAAATTTTATTTTGAGGGTCAAAAGTCGTCTGTTGATACTCAAAATAAAAATGTACTAAGGAGGAGACGAAAAGAACCTCGAAATGCATCTACGTAAAAAATAAAAAAGTTGGAAAAGCTTACAAAGTTTTTATAATCCAGATTCTCATCCATATCCCACAAAAAGAAAAGCAAGAAATTACATATCAGTTTAATTTTTTTACGACGGTTCCCAACAGCAGAGGTTATATGAACCCTCGGGGGTGACGATGTTTTTGGGGAAGAAAAGCATATTTGTATGGGGTTCGAATGAGACAACAGCATGAACAGAAACTTGTATTAGAATGGAAATAGTCAATAACAATAGATGCGAATAACCCATTTGTAAAGATATTTTGGATAAAGGATAATATGAAACAATAGGTTAAAATAAATAAATGATAAAAATGAACATCTTGGCTGGTAGGGGCACACAGAAATTGTCTTTAAAAAGAGACGCGAAACTCCGTACGGCCATCAAACCGGATTTTGGAATTTAAATAAATTCTGCTAGAACGTCAGAGATCCCGAAACACGGCCGTTCGCCGTTTAATCAGTCGTTAAAATTAGACGGAAAAGTCGAGTTGTCGGGCCAGTTTCAAGAATAAACTCGGCCGGCACCTTCGAAGCGGCCACAATCCAAAAATGGCTCATGGCGTCGCCATCGGTACAAGCGTGCCGCTTCGGTTTCTTTCCCACGGACCACTTTCTACGACAGAAAATGCCAAAAAATCACAATAATTTTTTTGTTTTTTAGCGATTTTCCCCCATCATAATATACCAGAATTTCATGTTAGCTTTTGTTTTCGGCTCGGTTATCTTAAAAAATATATATACATATATAAAATAAGTTTTATGTACATAAATGAAAATAAAAAGCAAACCTCTAAAAACAGACTTGGCAAAAACAACTCGGTAAACCTACCAAGTTCAAAATACAATGGTCATTCAAATAGACGCCGTACAAATCGCGAAACCGATTCGAACATGAAAATATACAACACAGTTATCATTTGTGGCATGTAAAGCCTAGAAAGACTCAATTCCAAAGTCGCAGAATGAAAATAGACTAAACTTAAATGGTAAAAACAATGTGACACTTACGTTTTCCGTGATAGTTTGGGGCCTGGAACCGTCGACGTCGGAAAAGTGGAAAGATCGATAAGTGAAGTGAAAATGGCGTCGCTGCAACGGGAACGCCCACTGCCTTCACCCTTCCAGAGCCGGCATTTTTTATAAAATATTAGCATTTCAATTTTAACCATCAGAAACGTCCAAAATTATTTATACTTTTGTTTTATGAAGCCAGAAAATTTTTTAAATTGAACGGATTATCTTAAGAAAAAAATATACATAATTTTTAACGTTTTTTGATCTGTTGCGTTCTGCTTCCTGGCGGACAATAAAAAAACTAATAAATTAGGTATTATACAAAAAAATATATTAAAATTTTTCATTTTAGTTCAACTTGATTATTGTACTAAGCCAATTTATTCAAATATATTAACTTACACAAACCCAAGCTGTGCAGTTCAATTACCCGATATATTTGGCATTTATCGATTAAGGCCTTTGAACGTTCATTATTATTATTATTCCATATGTATTTTAGTTTGTCCTACATAACAGAAGAAATTATTTAAACTGATTTATAAATTGTATGCAAAGGGTGGATGAGATGAAAAATTAGTGGCACAAGCAGTGCTCTAACCAGTTATGTTCTCGTGACTTCAATTTACAAAGAATATTAATCACGAGGTTATAAACAATTTGAGTCGCATATAAACAAAATTAATTAACTAGAACCAAAACAACAACAAACATTAATAATGGTAATAAACATATAATAATTATAATAAATTTTAAATAATAGAAGAATTATATTTTATACAATAAAAATATATTTATCCCAAAACAGTCTATAAGATTATTGATTTTAATTTATGTTTAAATGGGTTAAATAAGAACGAATGTATTAAATCGAGAGAGAGAGAGAGAGAGAGAGAGAGAGAGAGAGAGAGAGAGAGAGAGAGAGAGTGAGTGTGTGTGTGTATATATATATATAAACTGATTGTATTTGGGGCCTAGCTTTAAACTGGATTTGGACTGGCGAATTGCCTACACATGTCTTTTTGTTTGTTTTTTGTTGGGGGAGGGGGTTGATGCAGAAGAACAGAAGAAATCTTTCCTCCGCTACGACCTAAACAGGTCTATGGAACCCCTACTACTTATTGCGATACCTTGGAAAGTGTGCTATTCGTTATAAATCCGAGCACTTTCCTTAGTCTTTTGGTGGATCTTCTTGGGTGTTAGAGATGTCCTACCAAAGTAACTATATTGGCAAAGGATATGTGCCGATGTCTCTGGTTCCTCCTGACAGAACTGGTATGTTTCTGGCTGTCTTACCTATCTTTTTTAAAGTGACAGTTAACAGGAACGTGGGGGGTGTAGAGGCCACAAATCCTGCCTGCTGTGAGAGAGGAATTTTTCACCTTCTAATTTGAAATGTTTATAAATCTCTTATCTTGTCCCATACTTGTAGTGTTTGTGCAGTGCTGGAGTTTTTTCTCAATCTATTTTTCCAAGTCCAACTGAAGAATACTCTCTGGAGTACTTGGTTGTGGTTCTGGTCCTATGTGTGAGAAGGCTGCCCCTTTTTGGCTAGTTGTCAGCCTGTTCATTTCATGACTGTTCATGTCCGGGAACTCACTTTAAGGTAATCTTGCATTGCTTTCACAGTCATTAGGCAGTTTAGGCACTCCCAGACAAGTTTAAAGTTGAAAGCATACCCATTAACTTTACGGCTGTTTGGCTGTCTGTGAGTGTATATATATATATATATATATATATTTATGTGTGTGTGTGTACCTTTCATATTTTTCTTTATTAACTCCTGTACACAGTTGTATTACATGGAACTCTGTTCTTGCGAGTATGTACATGTGTGTAACCATTTTTGGTTATATAAATCATTAATCTGTAACAACTTGTCTTGTAGTTTATGTAAATTTTTTTCTTTGTTTGTTTCATCCAACTTTACAACTTAATACTCATGTAATTTTTGTTTATTTATTTTTTTTTATATAGCATATGTAATATTTTATATATCGTACATTCAACCATTTTTGAATATTGGATTTTTTCTGTATAATAAATATATTATTACCTCTGTTTTGGACTGTCAGACGCGTTTCTTCATTTCGCTATTTTCAATGCTGAGTCTGCGTGATTCACACTTCAGACTCAATCACTCGACCTTAACTGTCAGAAGTCAGACCACATTAGTGAGTGACAGGTAGACCAAAATTGTCCGAAACGAAACCAAAAGCTGGATTCCTCCAAAAATATTGTTGTATAAAGAAATCGATTTTTATTGTTTATCGATGGTTGTATCGATGAGGAGCACGACTTTGGCGTAGTAGGTAGGTTATGCTGTCGGTTCGGCTGGTGGTTTATCCTAGGTTGTATTCTGTATGTAAATAGATTAGGGCGTTTTACGCTAAAAAATATATATTTTCAAGTTTATTTTGGTTTTTTCATATGGTCACTCATATGGTAGCCGATACTAGGTTAAAATTTTAGACATCGTGACACTGTGTTTTCATTTAGTCAAAAATAAAAAATGGCCAGTTTTGGTCTGACTTCATCCAGGTTTTGTACAAAAGTAAATTCGCAGTTGATAGCCAAGTCTTTCAAAGTTTTTCCAATACAAAGTACATGCCACCTTTGCACAGTTAACCAGCCCAAATTAGTATACAAGTTTAAAAAAACATTTCGATACAGGCACTTCTGTAAGTACTCTAACGATAATTTGCCGTGGAACGAGAGCAGGGGGAAAAATTCAGTTTTGTTACCGTTTCAGCGGAACAGAGCACGTGGAAAGCGTGGCCGAACGTGCAGGGCGATCAGGCCCAGAAGAACCGGCCTCCGGCTGCTAAGCCTGAAGACCCGGAACGTGACGATGACCAGAAAAACAGGGACGAATCCTGGAAAAAGATGAAGTACAGCCTTTTTGCTGTATTTTCGACCATAGGGATTGGAGGTGGTTTCGCTGCTTACACATTGGGTAATTTGCTCATATCATATTTGATGTTAATAGAGGAATTTCTGTGTTGATCTGAGAAAGAGGGTTAGTTTTTGTTTAAAATATCCAATGCTAATTAGCATTAGCTATAGGTAAATAACAATTTAAAATGGGCTGGAACATTCGTTGGACAAAGCTGGGTCTGGAACACAACAACACAATTGAAAATCTGACCACACAATTTCACACCAGTTAATACTCATGGCTCATCCTCAAAATGCCACACTTGTCCACTTTCTGTATGCTGACTACTGTTGTCAACAACAACTTGGTGATTAGCATTTAAAGGGAAGCAAGGCGATTCCTATAAGAATGCTTATTCAAGTGAGCCAACAGCCAACCTCAAATAAACCCCAAATCAGACAAACAGTATTTAATATCCACATGGCGATTCAGGCATACAACCATAATTAACAAATTCAGACACTCATTTTTAGAAATGGAGACTGTCTATATGATTCCGAAAAAATTCTTTAATCCTATAAAGTCTCAACGGACTATAAAGGAAAGGAAGAACACAGGAGAGTGTCAGATACAATGATACGATATATAGATGGCTCCAAAACAAACGAAGGAACCGGATCTGGTACAAGCCCAAAACATGAACAATCAAACTCATTACGGAAGTACACTTCGGTCTTTCAAGCAGAAATACATGCCATCAATGCTTGTGCCCTGGAAAATCTTAAAAGAGGTTACACTGGCAAAAAAAAATCTTCATAAGATCTGATAGCCAAGCAGCCATTAAAGCATTAGCAAGTAAAAGAATCACATAAAAATTAGTCAGTGAATGCATCCAAAATCTCCAAAACCTGGGGAAACAACAACCTGATAATACCTTGGGTGCCAGGGCTCAGAGGAATTTTGAGAAAGCAGACAGACAGGCCAGAAGAGGATCTGCAAGACCATACATAGTCCTCAAACCTATTCTTAGGATAACAAAAACAAATACAGAATCCTCCATCGCAGAATGGATCCAAATAAAACAAAAGGAGAAGTGGATAAACTCTAGCGGTGCTAGACACAGTAAACTTATGATAAAACAACCCTCACTGACAAAATCACTGCTACAATTAGAGAGGGCTAAACTCAGAGGAATGGTAGGACTGCTAACCGGTCACTGGCATCTGAGAAAACATCTACACAACATGGGCATACACAACGATGATCCCATCTGCAGATTATGTAATGTGGAGGAGGAAACAGCCACCCATATCATCTTTGAATGTGAAGCAACAGCTCAATGGAGGTTTAACCTAACAATGAAAAAAACTTAGGGAATCAAATTGTAGCAGCAACAGTAATTGACCTGATCTTCTAGGAAGAATTGAGTCTATTGCACTGAACTAATGAACTAGGAAGATACAATAAACCAGCTGCAGTGCTTGGGGAGCACAAACCCCGCTTCCTAGTATCCTTATCACCATACCATACCACATGGCGATAATGAAAGTCATCCAACTCTTAAACCAGATGTGATTTGTCACAGTGGACAGTGACGTTTCACAGTAAGCAACAGAAGCTGCTCCAAGCCACTATGTCATGTACTCTAGCAAAGGTAAAATAGTGTATACCTAAAAACTTACAAAATTAATAATTTTTAATAATCCAATTTTCATATATTGTGTACTGTAATGTCCACTTCAAGCTCGGACGAGGAGCAATTGCTGTGAAAACCCTCAAATACCATCCTTTTATGAAAACCTGGCAAACTCATCCATAAATATTATTTGGAGATCGTGAGATCCAGTCTTGTGTGATATAGGATTAGAAACAAATTTCTTTATTGTGTCAATGCCAAAATAGCCTTCATAAAACTATTCACACCATTTTTTCCAAAATTAAAGATTCCACACCTGTAACAAATAAGTCTGATGTAATTTACAGAATTAATTGTTTAAATTGTCCTGCAACTTACATGGGAATTACATTCCAATATCAGGATAAGATGGTAAAACAACATATCTATGATTGCAAAAAACCCAAACAAAGTTCTACAGCACTGGCTACACACTATTTTGAACATCTACACAATTTTGCTTTCAACAATACAAAAATATTAAACACAGAACAAAAACATAAAGGTAACTTTTTAGAAATGGTTTACATGAACAGAGATAAACACAGCATCAATTACAGAACAGGGGGGGGGCGTCGGTGGCCGCAAGGTTTAGTCTTTGACACGGCGCTCATCACTGTAAGGTAAAGGTCCCGGGTTCGAATCCAGCGGCCCTGCATTCGAACCCGACATACTTACAAATGGGCTTTTTTTCAAAAACACCGGCACCCTGAGGGTTTAAATGACCTCTGCTGTTGCGAACCCTCGTAAAAAAAAAAAAAAAATTACAGAACAGACACATGTAAACAGCCACAGCTATGCTAACATAAATCAAATTCAATATCACTATACACAAAATATAAAATACAACATAGTTCAATGTACCTCATCTTTACTTTAGATGTCTCAATTTTTTTAGTATGAAATTAAATACATTGAGGGCGTTTAGGCATTGTAAGGCGAAGGTTCCAGGTTCGAATCTAGTAGCCCTGCATTCAAACATTCGAACCCAGCATTTTTTCAAATGGGCTATTTTTTAAAAATACACCCACTTCAAGGGTTCATATAACCTCGTAGTTAAATATCCTTGTAAAAAAAAAAAAAAAAAAAAAAATCCATTAAAAATATAATGCTTCGTTTACTTCTGTTAAGTACTTTTGTACTGAATAATACCATTTACACAAAAAGTAGACTTATACCCTTCCATTTTGCTACTCATAATGATCGCATTCAGTTAATCTTTTTCCTTCGTAGTAAATGTCATTTGATATTTATTCTTAACCTTCTTATTCTTAAGCTTTTTTCAATGGCTTCAATCAGGCATTTGAGTGAGTGGGACAGTTTTAGAGTCATAAGATTATTAGAGGAAGGGAATAGCCAGTGTGAAATCACCAGGACAATAGGAACAGTTGGTTCTTTGGACCTTCAGAGAAATAGGGCTTCACACTAGAAGGCCAGGACAGGGTCGACCTAGGTCTATGGAAGAGTGAGACAATCTGTAATCAGGCTCTACAAAACTGCAGCATTAAGGGAAATGTGGTAAGAAATCTGATAAAACAAGTCTGAAATGAAAGTCTCCAAGACTAAGAAGAAGGTACAATGAAAATAACTTCAGGGCCCGGTACCCGGCTCATGAACCTCTTCTTATCATAGCTCAGAAAATGGCCAGGCTTCAATTTGCACAGGAGCATGTGAACTGAAAGTTGGAAGATTGGGGACATGTTCTTTACAGATGAGGTGAGTGTTGGCCTCAAAATCTTCAAATGAGTGTAATTTCATATGGAGACGCTCAGGAGAAAAGTACTCCCTAATCTATTTGGTTCCTCAGGTGGCATTCCACAGTGAGTCATTGATGTACTGGAGTGGCATTTCCTCCCATGTAGATCCTTTTGCCCCCCCCCACATCGGTGAGAGATTCTTGCTAATGCAGGATAATGCCAGGCTCCATAGAGCATGTAGTATTATGGATGACTACCTGAATGAGGTTGGAAATGAGTATATGGCTAGTTTGAAGTCCAAATTTGAACCCAATTGAACACATTTGGGACCAACTGAAGCAATGAGTATGACAGCAAAACCCGGTCCTAACACATGAGGAAGAGTTGGGGTTTTACCAGAAATCTTTTCCAAGGAATGCAAAATGTTTAACGGATGTGATTCATGCCAGAGGTGGAAATACTCGGTTTTAAAAGGGACAAGAAGTTTTTCCATTTTTATTTTTTTAATTTTTATTTATTTGTCCTTTATTCAATAATAATAATTTTTTTTTAGAATTATGTAATAAACGCTTCCTTTTTAAATGTATTATTTTTACAACCAAACCTATTTTTGTTATACAAAAATGAATGAACTTTGAACTTTGAAATGAAAAATTTAAGGGTGGTGCATTTTGTTCATCCGTGTATTTATTTGACAAAATTTTGCCATTTCTCTCTTGACTCAAGGATTAAATCAGTTAATACCAATAGTTAAGTTAGTAACAAATGTCCTTAATATTTGTTATTTTTAGGAAAACCCGATGTTGATGAAAATGGGCAAATTAAAGAAGATGATTTCAGTGATTTGCCTATGTTCAAGCAGTTTTTTAAAAGAATGCTTCACAACATAGAATACTACAATAAAGTATGACCAGTAGTTTATATTGTTTAGTCATTCTTAGAAAAGAAAAAAAAAATGGATTTCTTGTAGATGATAAAGGAGCCATCAAGAGACAAACTTTTGCCGGAACCTTTGACACATCCATATATTCAACCTCCTTACACACTAGTCTTAGAGATGACTGATCTTCTTGTTCACCCAGAATGGACTGTAAGTTTGTTTGATATTTCCAGTAATGGAAGAATGTTGTATATGCACAGTATGTATTTTGCAGTATCAGACTGGATGGAGGTTTAAAAAAAGGCCAGGAGTTGATAAATTTCTCGAACAAGTCGGTCCACCTAATTTTGAAGTTGTGGTTTACACTGCTGAACAAGGAATGGTAAGGGTGACTTTTGAAAACTTTTTTTCTCAAACTAATACCGATATCACAAAAACAGACTGTTTTCCCAATCCTGGATTCACTGGATCCCCATGGTTATATAATGTTTAGGCTAGTCCGAGATGCCACAGACTTCATAGACGGCCATCATGTCAAAAACCTTGATTGTTTGAATCGAGATTTGAAAAAGGTAAATAAAAACTAAAAATTAATAAATAAAACTGTTTTTGAATGGAATGAACTGTCTTTAAGGTGATTGTTGTTGATTGGAATCCCAATTCGGTTAAACTCCATCGGAACAACACATTTTTGATCCCCAGGTGGAGGGGAAATGATGATGACACGACTTTAGTAGACTTAGCAGCATTTTTGAAAAGTAAGATATTTTTCATATTTAATTGCGAATTTTGTTAAAGCCTGGAATTTAAATTGATGCAAGTTTTGTAATTCTAGCAATTGCATCAAATGATATAGAAGACGTGAGAGATGTTTTGATTTATTATGGCCAATTTGAAAATCCAATAGAAGCTTTTAGGATTAATCAGCGAAAACTTTTGGTAAGATAAAATAATTGTTTGTTGTATAAATGCACAGTTTTCACCTCTTCTTCCAATCACATTCTTATCAGATCTGAGGATTCGAGGTGAAGCAGGAAAAAAAAATTATTTTGATGTTTTCGTATTTACCTAATTGTCTTGTCAATAAATAAATTAACATATTAATTTTTCAATAGGAGCAGATGGAAGAGAGGGAAAAGTCTGAAAAAGAGAAGAAGCCCTCTTTCACGCAACCATGGTCTAGTTTCTCCTTTAACAAAAGATAAAACAAAAAAGAAAAATCTTAAAGGATAATGAATAGAATTAATAAGAAATGAGAGACAATTGGATCCCAAATTTTCATATTAATACACAAAACTTAGTTTGATTTAAAATTCGTCTAACACACTTCCAACTCAGTTTTGTTTGATAAACAAATGCGATTGTCGGTTCGTATTTTCAATAATATAAAACTTATCCAAAGGATAAAACTAGATTCATGTTTTGATTTTCTTACCTAGTAGCTGTTTATGTTTTGCCTTATATTTTATTTTTATTTTTAAGATGCTTCTGCATATTAATTCAAAACATTTTGTGGCCAGTTTTTCTGATTTCATTTGTTTTGATTATTGTTTATTAATAAAAAATAAAATCTTTAGAACATTTTGTTAGCAATTATTTGATGAATTTCCATTTTTTTAAATAACAAGCTTTGTTTGACTAGAAAATTGAATTTTTATATATATTTTTTAGAGTGGCAACTCAGAAATCAAATTTCCGGAGGTCTCAAATTCTAAATTATAACTGACTTCTGTTAGTTAACATTTCTGAGCACACTTTTGCAACAATGGGAATCGTTACAAACCCATTTTACTAATCTTGCTGTTAAGAGACAAAAATATTTAATCTTTGTCAATTTAATAAATTATGTTTCATTATTAATTGACATTCCAGTTTGAACTAAAAAATTAATTAAGTAGATATAATTATTAAGCATGTTGTCTGGGTTTTCATCATTCCTTATTTCTGTCAGCAAATTGATTCGATTATAAAAAAGAAAAAACTATTACTGATTTATGTACGCTCAATTCTGCACAATGCATACACACGTAGAGTTGAGCCTATCACGTTTTGCAGCAATTCCAGCTTTTGCAATTCACAGTAAATTGCTGGGAACCTCGAGAAGCACCCACCTCGGGTGTTGGAAGTCCAGGGTCATACCTGTCTTATACATCCAGGGTTCAAGGAGCTACCAACAGCTGGTCAGTTCAGCACTCAACACATCAGTTCCTAAATCCAAACCAATTCACACTCATTTATTCTTATTTACATTCACCCAATTAGGGTGGTGGAGTACTAGATATTCCTTCATCACCCTTTTTCATCTATTATGTAACTAACATCGATGGGGTAATCAATATTCGCCATCACCCTATCACATCAATAAATACGTTCACCCTCTACACATGCTAGGGGCACAACTATCAGTACTATTCTCAATAAAACAATTATGTTTCGCCCACAAATCGGATCAGGGGACCCAGTACTCGCTCCTTTGCTCAAGCACAATTCTCACATTGGACGGCATTCCTACGTGATAGAGGTCCTGTCACTGAAAGCACTTACCACTGAGGGAGTTAGTGCAGGCAAAGTAAGTAGAGCCACCATCATCACGAATGACCACAAATGCGTGACGAATGCTCACAATTGTGCTGAGTGCAATGGAAACAGCCAAGAAGTGGATGCACCCTCGCCATACATGAACTGGAATTATTGTTAGGCCTGTCTGTGAAGAAGAGCCAACAAATGGCTTAACTTGAAAGGTATGGCATAGTAAATGACTTTGCTAACATGTGAGAATGTCTCGGATGAGTGTGATCAGAAGGACCCAGGATGGAGTTGGCTAGTTACCCAGCTCGAGTACTGTTCCCTGTGTCATCCCTGCCCTCCCTAAGGCTTTGTCAAAGTATATTCCTAGGGGCTGCCACCTGGTCGGATAGGGATAGGGATGAAAGAGGCGGCCCCAAGGCCTTCTGCACCTTGAGCTGAGCAGATCTATTGTGCTACTCTGGTTTTTTTGTACCTCACTGGTCAGCTCAGCCTTGCCAGTAGCTCCTGAATATGATCTTGTTTGTGGCTTTTCCTCTCCTATTTGCCAAAATCTGCACCTGCATAGACCTTCATAAAAACATAAAATCTGTTCTGTGGTCTCTTCTTCATGGTAATATCTGCACAGTTTCTTTGTTCTGTAATCCTATCTGGTACATGTGCCTTCCTAGGTGACAGTGCCCTGTCATGAGTCCACCCAGAATCCTGGTTTGGTTGTGGTTGCCTTCAGTAATTCCTTGTAAGTTTTGCAGATGACCCTTCTATGATTCTCCTCATATCCCCCATGCCCGAGATATTATTCCACCATACGTTGGCCTCAATTTGGATCCATTTTAGGATGTATCCTCTTTTGTGGTTTCAGGTCTGACGTTGCTTGTATATATTAGGCTGTACTTGCATCTAAGGATTGCACTCGAAAGCAGATATATCAGATCGGTAAGGAACCCCATCGCATAGCAGAGTGTAAGCTGCTCTCTAAAGTTTGGGTGACCACTCTGAGCACAGGCTTGCCAAAGGGCTGTCCTAAGTGAAGGCCCTGACAGAAGAGCTTTGAGCCCAGTAGTGAGTCAAATATTTTCAGGAGAGTCCTCCCATCCTGTCGCCACCTGAAGTCACTGACAAATTTTAATAGTTTTATCACTTATCTTCCCTCCACCTCGACAGGATCAATATGTGGATGGCATCTTAACTTGGCAAAGTACCTTGCCTTCACTATGTACCTTATTGCAGCTCCTCAGGTAGAGCAAATGGCTGTGGGGTTTTCGAGGTTGTCGATATACAGCAACTGTCCGTTTCCACCATTCTTTATTTCCTACAGCAAATTGGTTTGGACATAACAAATAAACTTTATAACAAAATGTTTTTATTTTTAACATTTATAAAATGACATATATTTTGTATCCTACACAATTGAATATTTGTGTGAATTTAAATGACATTTAAACACAAATAATGTTGTGACATTCCAATTAGCTATATGAAAAAAGATACAATTGAAGAAGAGCTAAAGTTATAAACAAGTGAATTTGAAAAAGACATACAACTTAAACCAATGCACTTTTAAACAAATATTTTCAACAACAAAAAGTGTGATTCTGATTAATTTTTTAATAGTTTTTCTTTTTTCTCGTGCAGTAGTTCTGACATTTATAAAGTCAATAATTTATTACTTTTCGTTTGCAAGAAGTAATTATAATTGACAATTACTTATATTTAGTCCTCAGCATTAAATTAAAACCTGTTTTTCACTTATCTGGCAATATCAATAGAAACCTTGATAAGTCCAGGCTTTTAAGCCACCATCATCTAAGCCACAAGAGCTTGTAGAGGATGAATACACAGAACAACTTTCCTAATCTTTGGAACCAGAGTAATCTAATGAACAAAACATAAAGACATTATTAAAAAAAAATTCTTAATTATTACGCAAATTACCTATTCAACTTCTGCAGCGATGATTTTAGTGTGTCCGGTGAATCTTTCAGAATGTACCTCCTTATACCTGACATGTATATTTTGATGTACTCATCCCATCCGAGCTTGGCGACGTCCGTGTGAAAGAGAACTTTGTCAGCGACGCTTAAGTCTGTGTCGAGTGCTTTTTGGTTGTTACAGCAGAACTGCCACTCGTGGAGGGCGAAAAACTCTCCGGTCCTTGCTGCCATCCTGAATCTTTGGCACAGCTTGAGCATGCTGTAATATTAAAACATTTTATATTTTTTAACGAACAGATGAAATTAGATAATGGATGAGCATGCGGGTCTTAGTGTCGTACGAAACTATTCAAGTCTAAAACATACAATCATTAAATAAAACATGTTGAGTTTCACAAACAGTGCTTTTCTTTTAAAAAGGTGAGACTGTGCTGAAAAATAATCTTTTTCTTTTTGGATTTACCTCCAAAAGACAGCATTGTTCATGAGCTGCAGATAAGATACTCTGACTGGTTGTTTTGCAGGGAATGCCTTTGTGTTGAACATAGCATTCCTATAAATTGTTATAGAATTGTTATAATTGTTTATTAATTGTTCCAATCTCCATCTCAACAAATATTAGTCAAATTTCGTTTAAATATAAGCCTTAATGGCACTTTGAATATTAAACCATAATATTTTTATTATACATTTTGGCATTAAAGCATTAAATCTAGAGCAATAAAATATATTTTACACAAATAATATAATAATGGTTGATATCAAGTAGAACTAAATATATCGTTAGATTTGAAATTATGAAATAACAATAATATCCAGCATTACCTTGTATAAAATATCATACTAGTGAAGGGTAATAAAATTGTTGAAACAAATTAAAATTTGTAATTTGATCATTTTGATTGTGGTTCACCCAGTCTTGCTCGTTTGGTCTGCCAGACGAGATTTCACATTTAGCCTTTAGTTGATTTTTTTTATTTTTGCATAAAAGTGAAATGATGGTTTGTATTGTCTTTAATTTGTCTGTTCATTTTTTAAACTTATCAGACCAAAGGAGCAAATAAAGCAGACCAGGATGATTGTATATGGCAAAGTTTCATCATCATCATCCTGCATGTTTCACAAGAAATCCCACAACAAATTTACTGTGAAAATGCCAAACTACTATGTGAACTATGCTGTTTCAGTCATATAATGATACAGTGCTTCCAGAGAGAAAAATAAAAATTAAACCATATTTACTTATTATTTGTACTGCATAATATAATTTAAAAAATTGATATTCACAATTTCAAAAATAATTTCTTATTAAACATTTATTATTAACATTTTCAAAATAGTTGCGATAAACTTACATTGGTTTGGAGCCTTTGATTCTTAAATAAACATCCGTTATGAATGCCGGGAAAGTGTGAAGAAACAAATCTTTTATATTATGTTTAAATCTGTTTGTCGTGAAGGAAAACCCAGGGTACCATTGTTGGTACTTGGACGGCATCGTGAGGGAGTGCTTGAGAGTCAATTTACCGAGTTCATGCCAGTAAATTGGGTTAAGGCTGCCTGAAGTACAGTTGTACACCGGTACCGATCCTTTCCTGGAGAAAAATTATCATTAAAAAAAAGCATAGGACACAAATTTTGATAATTTTACCTGAAATTTGCAGTGTGCCAAGCGGCAACAATGAGCGAATCGACGACAATATCTACAGGGATTATGTCAACTAAATATTTTTCATCGCATATGATAGACCTGATTGTGCCTCTTCCAATTTCCATCATTATTCCTGTGATCCCGCTAATGTTGTCGACCCATCCTGGGAAAGGTTCCTGCCATGCGGCTGTGACTGTATGGGTAAAGTTAGTATAGAGATTCCTAATTATTAATTTTCTTTGGATGTTACCTATTGAAGGACGGACAATGGATATCGGTAGAATATCAGCCTGCTGTGATACAATGGATTCGGCCATCGCCTTGGTGATTGTGTACGTGTTCGGATGGTTGTTTGCAAGAAGCATGGTTGTAAGTGATTCGACCAATTCCGGGGACAAGTGCTTGACGCACTGCATGATTCCATCAGGGTTTGCAGGTGGTGGGTATACTTTCTCATCGACCTCAGTGCGATTGGCATTTGAGTATGCTGTTGAAACGTGTACCACTGCCTGAAACCGAAACCCTTTTTGTAAACCTAGCAATCTACATTTGAACAAAAATACAAATGAAAATCCCTTTTCTTTGATTTTTAACATGGATGTGCTGACACGCATTTTTGAAGCCTTATGGGCTTCCACTTCAGAACATAATCATACATTAAATGTGAATGTATAAGCCCAGGTGTTTTCATTAATCAAAAATTCCAATCCACTATATTTTGTGGTCTGATTATCCAAATAACTTCTTTCAATCAATTTATGTAAGGTATTGGTTGAAATGAAAAAGCCGAAGGTTGTGGGTTCGAATCCCGCTTGTGACACTAACTTTTTCATTTCAACCAATACCCTAAATAAAAAATTAATTAATCGAAAAAATCCCAATATTCAGCAAAATACAATTTTTTAACTGAATTGCTTATTACTGAATTACCGTGGGGGAGGGAGAATGAAAACCTAGTTTAAGTTCTAAGGTCCCAACCCCCTTCAAAAATAAGTTTCTTCGAACTTATTTTAAATTTTATTTTCTTATGTACTTATTTTAAAATAAGTAAATAAATAAATACTCTCTTACACATAGTAACATAATTATATTACGGTATGTTCTCAGCAAACATAAATTTCTACTATCTTCAAAATAAATGTATTTATTAAAAATCACCATAATTCTTTATGTTTCTGAGGTTTTCTGACTTTTGATTGTAGAATTTCAAAAAATTAAATGACGGTTTTTTAAAATTTTTTTCACCCAAAATACAAAATGTAGATTGAATCAATTTTGTACACTATTCAAATAGATTTTTTTAAAAAGCATTCAGTGGTTTGGATTTTGTTATAAATAGACAAGTAACCAATTTTAATAATGGTAAAATCAAAAACGTAAACTTATGCAGCAATGGTATGACATTTAAATAGCTAGAGTGAGTGACAGAGTAAAGAGAGACAGTGAGCGAATAAAGTGAGTCACAGAGCAGAGAGAAAGAGGGAGTGAGAGTGAGTGAGTGAGAGAGAGAGAGAGGATAAAGTGAGTCACATTGGAGAGAGAGAAAACGAGGGACGGGGAGAGTGAGTGACAGAGTAGAGAGAGAGACAGTGAGTGAATAAAGTGAGTCACCGAGCAGAGAGAAAGAGGGAGTGAGAGTGAGAGAGAGAGAGAGAGGATAAAGTGAGTCAGGAGAGAGAGAAAACGAGGGACGGGGAGAGTGAGTGACAGAGTAGAGAGAGAGACAGTGAGCGAATAAAGTGAGTCACAGAGCAGAGAGAAAGAGGGAGTGAGAGTGAGTGAGTGAGAGAGAGAGAGAGAGAGAGAGAGAGAGAGAGAGAGAGAGAGAGGATAAAGTGAGTCACATTGGAGAGAGAGAAAACGAGGGACGGGGAGAGTGAGTGACAGAGTAGAGAGAGAGACAGTGAGCTAATAAAATGAGTCACAGAGGGGAGAGAGAGAAAGAGGCAGGGAGGGAGGTAGAGAGAGAGAGAGAGCGAGAGAGAGAGAGAGAGAGAGAGAGAGAGAGAGAGAGAGAGAGAGAGAGAGAGTGAGTGAGTGACAGAGTAGAGACAGTGAGTCACAGAGGAGAGAGAGAGTGTGAGTGATAGTAGAGAGAGACAGTGAGCGAATAAAGTAAGTTGCAGAGGAGAGAGGGAGAAAGAGGGAGGGGGAGGGGGAGAGTGACAGAGTAGAGAGAGAGACAGTGAGTGAATAAAGTGAAACAGAGGAGAGAGAGAAAAAGGGAGGGGGAGGGGGAGAGAGAGAGACAGTGAGTGAATAGTGAGCCAGGAGGGAGAGAAAAAAGGAGGGGATGGTGAGGGGAGGGAGAGAGAGTGAGAGGAGAGAGGGCAGAAAAAAAAAATATTTTAGACGAACAATATATTTTTGTTTGTCAAAAGAATTATAGTGAAGTCTTGTGAACAATAAAAATACCAACATATATAAATTATATATTTATTTTTAAATGGAAAAAATATTGTTTTTATCAATTAGCAGTCCATATACAATATATAAAACAAATAGTAAAACAATTTATTTACAATATTTACAGAATTTGTACATTACATGTGTAGCTCATCTTCACTCATGTTTTCAACAGTTTCATTTTGCTTGTTTTTTTCTGCAGCCCGGAGCAAAAACTGGATAGTGTATTTGCTAAAGTCGCATATCTTGCTCAGCTCTTGCTGCCTCCGGATGAGGCTTTTCTGGATTGCGAGTAAAACTGAAAGCGGTGGTATTTTAATCTTAGGAAGAAGAGACTTGAGCCATAGTATGAAAAACTCAAAATGCTTGCTGGTTTCTAAGGCATTAGAAATGTAAAGAAGTAATTTCTCGATGTAAACCTCTGGCAACATGGAGCTACACATTTCTATCTCTTTTGAAGGAATGCCTTCAACAACTTCTTTTATTAAGGATCGTTCGTTCAACCTCAAAGCCATCATTACAGCCTGGCTGTAGTTTTTATTTAACCTGGCTTCCCTTACGGAATCTGGGGTGATACTCTCTTCGAGTTGGTACGGGTCGAATAATTGCCCACCGTCTAGGGAGTAAATCAGAAGCCCTTCAGTCGTCACTGCTGCCCATGATTGATTTGTTGGAGAGAACTGGAGGTGGAAGATCCTGATTTCTGGTTTAAAAGACCTAGAAGCCATGTCGCCTTTTTTTGCTCCCGGAAGCCGGATCAAATCCTGTTTTGTTTCATCCCTTCTTTCTATTAAATTAATGTTTCCGAATTCTGTCATTTTTCTTCTGTTTATAAAATCATCCACTCCGTCCAATGACCTGTTTTGTGTAATTTCATACTTTTTAACAATGATCTCTTCTTCCCTGTTGTATATACAGACATACTTTGATTGCCCACCAGTAAGTATGTATTTCCCATCCGCAGAATAGCAGAGAGTGGTGAAGGATTTGCCTTGCTGAGATTTCTTCGCCGTTATCAAATCAGTATCGGCTCTCCCACTGTGGATGTCCATTTTGCCTTCGATGAAGCCGACCTGAAGACCGGAGGAAGGCTCAAAGAATGATATTTGACTGTCGAGTGAAACAACTGCCACTTCATTTCCGTCTGGTCTGTATGCCACGGCAAGTCCATCAGAACTTAATTGTATGACTTCATTGGCCGACGTCGTTTCAATCGCATTCCATATTCTCAAAGTCTTATCCCAACTGACAGAAGAGAGTTCTGTCGATGTTACACCTGGATGGAATTCTAATCCGACAACCGGTCCTTCATGTCCACACAGTATTTCTAATAATCTACCTACTTTAAGTGACCACAAGTAAATTTCAAAAACATCCTGACCACCGGCAGCCACGAATTCACAACTGGAGTCAATTGCGAGGGACACAAATTGAACCGGCCTAGTTGATGTCAGGGTCTTGAAGTTCCTGTAACGCGTCATATCAAATGCCCTGACTGTTCCGTCTAGAGAGGCGGAAATAAAGAACTTTCTATTCGGAGCAAATCTGACAGCAGTGACAGCTGAACTGTGTTCGTTGAAAGTGACAAAGCAAAATCCTGTCTGGCAGTTCCACAGTTTGACTTTTCCATCTTCCCCACCGGTGACTAAGTACTGTCCATCCCCTGAATAGGCAAAAGTTGACATTAACGACGAATGTCCCTGCTGTTTCAGAACGTAAGTCTCACTCTGCCATTCCCATACCAAAAGCTGGCCGTGAGTTTCACAACCTACAGCAATCCAATCTCCGGTATTGTTGAACTTCAAATAAGATATCTCCGAATCTGTGATGCTCAGGGAATGAATCAAGTTCACATCAGGAAGTTCATACAAAAGGAAAGAACCATTAGATCTACCGATAACCAATATTTTGGATTTTTTATGGTAATCTGCTGTTTTGATCTTGATGTCATGTTTATTGTCCAGAAGAAAATGTTTTTTGAGTAAAGAGTATCTCAACTTCTGTGAGGTCTCATCTACTGCATCTTCTTCTTTTTCTAGGTCTTTTTCTCTTTCTTCCCCCCGGGAGAGATCGACTTCAGTTTCTTCGTCCAATTTTTTCTTCTCGGGCGGTTCCGGATCATAGAGATCAGTAAGGTCTAAGTTGGATTCCCATAGGCAGAGTCTCCCATTTCGGCTCAGAGTCGTGACATCGAGGCTGTTTTCATCGAAGAAAACTGCCACGATCTGTTCCGCATGGCTTCCAAGGGAGCACATACGGAAATTCTTCAATTTGGGCACACCAAAAATTTTCACAGTGGTGTCCTTCGACCCGACGGCGATAACTTTAGAGTCCGATGTCCAGTCGAGGCAGGTCGTCAGATCAAAATGACCGTGGAAGACCCTTTCGAGTATGAACGGGTTGAACTCGCCCAGATGGGCTCCTGGTGTTCTGAAAATGTGTGTAGTCCTTCCTTTGCAAACTGCAAAGTACTTTCCATCGGGGCTGAAGGTAACACAAGATATTGGGCTGTTGAACCTGAAGCAAAAATTAATTAAAATTTATTACATATAAAAGCTTGACTAGATTAAAAAAAAAAGAAAAGACATTTTATTGCTTATTGCATTGAATAATGACTTACTTGTACTTGTGAACGACTGTCTTGCTGAGCATGCTGATGAGGAAGGCGTCGCCCTTTTCGTCGACAGCGATCATGATACAATCGTTGGGCGAAAGGGCGACCGTCGTGAAGTTCATTCTGCTTTCGACGGGTAGTGTGTTCGACTTGTTGTTTTTCAGATCAAAGACGGTGATTCTGTTCCCGACGGGGCTGATAACGCTGTTCCCATCTTTGGTGAACAGAAGGTTGCCCTTTTTGTACACAGTCCCGAGCAAATTGGAAAATTTGAATGAAAACTTCATCTCGCCGGGGAGAAGTTTCTAATATAATTGTGAGTACTTGAAAGTTTGAAACCTTCTGGGTACGAGCACGTGATACGAGTACAAGAACTAAACTGCTTTGGATGTCGATCTTTATTATCGATCTTCAATCCCAACGCTCACCGTGTCAGTGAAGTGAAGTTTCAAGGACGGACGGGTAAGTTGCTAAACTTCCTTCAAAACTGTAGCTTTTGAGTATAAAATTGTTATAATTTTGTTAAACCCGTCGATTTTGATGCTGGGTGTTGGTCTGCGACTCGGTAAACTCATGCTGAACCGGCACTGAGTCACTTATTGGGGTCATGTTCACTCGCGGGTTTGTTGAACTACTCAAACGCGTTTCGGCATTGTGCCATCTTCAGTGGTCAGTTCCAGAAGGTTGTCAAATTATTATAAATTGTCCAAATGATATTTTTCGATATATATGCTTCAATTTAATTAAAGTTAATTAATTAAAGATTATCTGAAAGCAGGAGAAGGGCTGTTCTCAGGAATCTTGCTGCGGCCCGGGCTTTTAGAACATAATGTACGATCTAGTACTAAAAGTCGATTATCCCTTAGAAGTTGAAGCCTTTGCGTTTGCTGATTTTGCCCCTTTCTGGCTTCAGGAAAATCAGCAATAACCCCCCCCCCCCAAGAAAAGCAAATTAGCAAGCATAAATCAGCAAAGAGTACACCCTTGGAGGAAAATGGGCTCAATCCAATAAAATCATATTTAATCCGGAAGGATCAAAAACGGTACATATCCGTGGCAGGAAAGACTTTCTGAAATAAATATTTATCTATTAGGCAAAAAAATAGAACAGGTCGTCCAACTACACTGACGTCGTACACTAACGGGCAAAAATTATATATTAATCAAAGGTTCACGTTTTATTACGTTTAGTAATTGAGTCTTTGTCTAAAAAAGTAAAGAAAAAATGTAAATTGCTAAAGAAAATAAAAAAAAAAATTACAAAAGACGGACAGACAAAATTAGCTTTAATTTTGTTTTAGATTTTTAATTAACATTTTCTTCCTCTTGTCTCAATTACATCTCGAAGACGCATCGGCATACTTTCTACCAGTCTGGAAATGCCGCTTTGCTCGAGGTTAGCCCATTCTTCACGAAGACACCTTTCAAGATCGTGGAGTTTATCAGAAGTGATGGACGTGCTCTTATTAGTCTTTTGAGGTTATCCCATAGATGTTCGATGTGGTTGAAATCTGGAGATGTTATGCTGTTGAAGATTCCTTTGTACTATGCGAGCGACATGTGGACGGGGATTATCGTGCATTAGAATAGGGTTGTCACTGATTTCATCGAGGATATGCAACGCATGATGTTCCAAAATTTCATCCACATATCGAATGGCCGTCAAAGACCCTCCACGAACAACAAACTCTGTGCGACTCTCCATTGAAATTCCCGCCCACACCATCACTGTGCTAAGTTGAAAAGGTTTCTCTGGGAAAAATTCCAGGCTTCATACCTTTCATTTCGCCTTCTCCACACTATTTCACGCCCATATGGAGATCGTAGAGCAAATCTACACTCATTTGTAAAACGTACAGCAGACCAATCGTCAAAACACCAATGGCTGTGTACTCGAGCAAATGGGAGCCGTGCAAGTCCTGTGTGTTCTGGTCAATTCTGGTCATCTTACGGAGCGAAAAGCCACCAGACCATACTGATTTAATTTTCTTCGAGCAGTGCGTTCAGAAATTAATAATAATTATTATTAATATGTTAATATTAATTACAATTGCCCTTTAAATAAAAATATAAAAGCTATTATGTTACTATGTTATACAAAACACGGTTCATACATGCATGTATTAATAAAATAAGGAACATGCAGAAAATAAACTCCCTCCTACCAGGGTTTCTAGTGGGAGGTAAAAAAAGCTGGTCAGTTGATCGCTTGAAGATGGGACAATACCGAAACGCGTTTGAATAGTTGAACAAACCCGCGATTGATGATGGACCCAAGTGTCGATCGATTTTGTTCTCTCAATGTTTAAATCTTTTCTTTTAGATATATTTTTTGGATTTATCCAACCCAGAGGCAGTACTACACAGGCAGTACACTCTATTTATACTATTTGTTTTTGTTAGGGATGGTTAGGGGTAAAATTGTTGTCGATATTTATGTAAAAACAGGTTTTTTGGTTATATAGATAACGTAGACGTACCTGCAGTTTCTGCATTTCTTTGCATAGGTCGATAACCGCTTGGGTGCCCATGGTGTTGAGCTTGACAGCGTCATGGAGGGTCTCGTTAAATTTGACAGTGGCCGCAGAGTGGAAGACTACAGTCACTTGTGTCACGAGACGGGTCTTGTCCTCTTCGCTCAGGCCCAGGCCGGGCTCCATCACGTCTCCAGCGACGGCGCATACTTTCTGCAAGCAGCCGGAATCCCTCACGCGGTCGAAGACCTGAAATTTTCCGTAAATACAATTGTGTGTCTGAAGGTAAGCAGTACAGATCAAAACTCATAAAACTGAGAGGAAAAATATCATTATACACACTTTACAAAAGGTTTTTTATCGTATCTCTCTAGAAACCTTTTTTTTTGGGACAAATGTTGTATGAAATTCTTCGACTAACTTCATTTCCAAAAGGTCCAAATACGCTGTAGTTAAGAACATTCTCAGCAACATCGATTCACTATTCGCAAATTAACATTTTATATTCATTAGACACATTCATCCAGACCAGTTGTTGGTTCTTTATATGCCTGCAACAAGTGTTGCGCTAGCTCCACAAATCTCAAAAAATCATCAAAATTCGAGGCTATACTAATGTGGTCAACAGAGGCCATGTAAATAGGCTTATACATGGTGGAAAAAACAACAAAAAAACTCCAGGACTTCAGCAAGAAAGTTTCGACTAAACTAACAATGGACCTGCCGCAAAACAGAATTAAACTCAGGATTATCACAGGTCTCTAAACACTGGACATTGCTGCCTTGGTTTGGAAGAAGAAAGCTTATGAAACGCAGTACATACAAATATGTTAAGGCCTTATAAGGAAAATATTTAAACTTACGGGCACAGGTAATCTTAATCAGTATTGCTCCAATTAGCTGCAGAGATGAATAAAAAGCCTGAAATTGATAGTTGTATGTGGAGTATGTACAAACCACCTACTGTCCAGTGGATTGGCAGACCATGACGATCGGCAAGCATACAACCCTATGGACGCAGAACAAAAAGGCTCTTTAGCTGCCTTGAAATCTAGAAAGGCATATAGCCATAATTTGAAAATGTTGAATCTACTCCTTCCCAGCCTACTACTAGATTGTAAGATCTGCTAGGATCGTACCTCGCAGAAATATTCTTTTCATACAAATAGAGCAAATAAAAACAGAAAAAAGATTATGAAGGCAGAAACTTTTGATCACTACCTTTCTTCTTCACGCATTAACCGTAGCTCAATTAACTGTTGATTGATTATTTCTCAAAAACGGACTCAAAATTACGTCAATCAAATAGCAAAATGGTGTCAGCATTCATGGTACTTGTTTTATCCTATGCACTAGGCATGTATCCTATACTTTTTTCTTCCAAGTCTGGAACTTCTGGATTCAAAATATGTCTATCCACTGCGACTTAACAAAGCCTAATGAGAAAAAGCCCCTTTATGATTTTACTATCACATTTTCTTCGTTTTTCTCTTCTCTCTTTCTACACAAGGGGTTTGCACTCAACAAGCTCAGGTTGTGTGATCTCGTGTAGTCTCGCTGGTTTGCGTGAGTTGTTACCATTTCACCATCTTCAGTAGGTGGTTTGTGAGAAACAATGGGATCACTAACCAACCGCATAACGTCATCATTGACTGATGATGCTCGGAAACAACCAAACTACAATAGGTGTCACTTTTCTATTAACTTTAGCAGTTCAAGTTTCTAAAAATACTATCGTATTGAGTAATTTCAGCTAAAAACATTTGTTTCTAGTACATACAGAATTTAAAGTCATATAAAAGAAGCTGAGGACTTAACACCTCAGGACGCCACCTCGTTCAGAGCCCCGCAAGGTAAAATTTGGTTTTTGATCCAACTCATTTCATTTATTCTCAAAGTATTATTTGTATTGGAATGTTGGATTTCGAATCTAGAATTGAAAATATTGACCCGATGTAGCGTCATTCGCCTAGTTAAACGACTGACTCACGACGCATAGTGGGACAAAAGCACTAGGCAGCAAAAAATCGATTTCCAAAAACTGAAATTGTGATAATCCAATTTACTTTTCTTACAGTATTTGAGCCATAGAATAAGGCTGTAATAATGGTTTAACGGTAAAAATTGATCAAAACCAATAATCACTGCTGAAAACTGAAAATTATAAATTTTGCAAGATGTACACCTATTTTCTGAATAATCCCCCCCCCCACCCTGCGTTGTAAAAACTCGGTCACCCTAATTTCCTTTTACGTACATACCCAAGTATGAGATGAAGACAAAAATTCCACGTTGGAACGGAATCAGGTGGATTAGTTTAGGGAAAACCAGCGAGGATTACTCGGATTTTTGAACGTTCAAAACTGCTTCGTTGTTCTTTGCTTTGGAACTGTCTTTTTTTGCTTCTATACACACCGAAGTACTATCTATGTGATTTTCGGCCTATTCCTGCCTATCTGATTGCAACATTGTTTTAAATCCCTAACCATACACGAATTCAGAACACGATAAGAAAAATTATGGTTTGCAACTACACTCGAACAACAAAATGCCTTAGAATTAACAGTCAAAACATTACTGATCCAAAACAAATTTCGAACGCAATAGGCGAACATCCATGCACAATCTCATCTACAACAACTTATAATGATAATTTCAAACATCTAAAAACCCAGCGTGAATCAACCCCAATCACAGCCACCATTAATTCACTTGATCCCATTAATTCACTCAATACGAGTTTGACAATGCATTTCAGATCAAAACGACGTAGCAAGCTATCGGATAACATCCTTGACGTGCAGTTTGTGTAAGCTAATGGAACGGATGGTGGCAAATAGGTTACATTGGTTTCTTGATTCCCATGGTCTTGAACCACCATTGGCACAGTGGTTTCAGGAATGGTAGAGGAACATGGGATAACCTAGTTTTTCTGGAAACCACTATAATGAATGCTTTCAATAAAAAACAAAAGGTATTAGCTGTTTTTTTAGACGTAGCCAACGGTTTTGCTAAAGTAAGGCGTCGTCTCATACTAGACAGCCTAGTCGATTTTGGCATCAATGGCCATATCCTGTCATTCATAACCAACCTTTTAAGAAATCGACGTTTTCAAATATCAAAACACTCTTTCAGGCATCTTTATTCAAGAAAACGGTGTTCCTCAAGTGCGACACTTTTTTGTATCGGGTTTAACCTAATATTAAAAACCGTAAACCTACCTGCTGTAGCCAAACTATATGCTGATGATATAGTAATATTTTGTTAAGGGAAAAATGTTAATTCACTAGCAGAGATCATACAAAAAACGTTAAACGATAGTAATGAATGGCTTAAGCAACATGGTTTTCAAATTTCAGTACATAAAACAAACGGAGACCTTTTCTGTAAAAGAAAACCGCTAAATACTCAACTTATTTATTGATAATCAACAAATTAAATTCACTGACTCGACAACCTATCTTGGCATAACTATAGACAGTGCCTTGAATTGGACTAAGCATATTAAAGAAACAAAAGGAAAATGTTATGCTTCACTAAATTTCCTTAAAACGCTTAATTCCACTAAGTTGGGTGCGGATAGGACTTGTTGACACTTTATAAAGCCCTAATAAGATCAAAGATAGAATATGGATGTAATGCCTACGTATCGGCCAGCCCAAGGACTTTACAGCTACTAAATAGTTTTCACAATTCGGAAATTGTAAATTGCAGCCGGTGCTTTCCGTTTGAGTTTGGGATGGTTAGGGATGGTTAGGGTGTATGCCAGTATAGTTTGTGACAGTAGGAAATGTTCTCACCACCAAATTTATGTAGCAGTTATACTGCGGAGCTGCTTGCCATAAGCAAATGTCTAAACATAATACTACCATAATACGATAAAATAGCCATATGCACCGGTTCACTTTCAGTCCTTTTATCAATAAAAAATAAATTTACTGATAACCCTATCGTTCAAGACATACTTTTTTCTCTCAGATATCTACACTCAAAAGGAGCTGAAATGTTCTTTATATGGATACCTATGCAATGTCAAATAGCGGGAAACGAACTCTCAGACCAAGCTGCTAAAGAGGCCATCGAAAGTGGTTTACCAATAACTACGGTGCTACATTTAGACATAGTAAGTTTTATTAAAACAAAAATTTGGTTATCCTGGCAACAAATGTGGAACATTGTAACGGGCAACAAGCTGAAAGAAATAAAAAGTAGTGTTAGTCTTTGGAAATCATCAATTAGACAAACTAGATTTGAAGAAACGGTGTTAACAAGACTAAGAATTGGCCATACCCGTCTTGTCATTTAGACATAGTAAGTTGTCATGGTTATTTTATGTCACGAGACCAACCACCCAAGTGTAAAAACTGAAGAAATCCTAACTGTAAAACACTTACTAACAGACTGCCCTACTTGTAATAAAAGCAAAAGAACCTTAAATATATCAAATATTAGGAAATCAAAAAGAAAACATTGACGAACTACTTAACTTTCAATTTTTACAAGTTAATAGACTAACTAATGGACTGTGGTCCAATCGATTCGAGAACAGTTTTGTGGAAATCAGCGAATAGAAAAACATACCCATGATGGTTATTGGTAATATTTGTTCCACTTTTGGGTTTTGGACGGTTTGCTGTGGTCCAATAGATTCGAAAAAAGTTTCATTGGATTGAGCGCACCATAAAACCTAAACATTCAAAATTTGGGGAACTTGTCTCAAATAGCTTGGGTGTTAATGAATTTTTCCTCTTTTATTGCGTTTTGACCCCACTGTCCCACGCCACCCTGGCATCAACAGCAGAGAACGTGTTAAAACGTGTCTTGTTCTGAACATTAATTTAGGTTTGAGTAAATATGAAAATAGTATTGCACTATAAACTAAGCACCGTTTCAATGATTTAACACTGAAGTTTGGAAATGAACTACAAAATGTGTTGTCTGGTGCATATACTCGTGGTATGGATTTTGGGATCGGCGAGGAATAAGAAAGTACAAACCGTACAAAACAGATTGGAATGGGAACTGCGAGTGAATGGATGGTGAAAGACAACTCGACATCGATATACAGTAAAGATTACCATTTTGACTTTACACAGCTACACTCATCCACAGCACTTTTCTGAATCTACCGAACTCACCTGATAAAAGATTAATAAGGAAAACACACCAGGTAGAGTTAAAAAGGGCATAATTGATTAAAATTCGAGTGATAAATGACAAACAGAATTGTTTTGAACACTGTCTGGTGATACCACATCACAAGTGCTGTAATTGTAAAAGTGTTCGTTTATTTGTATAGCTAAAAATAAATAAATAAACAAGGTGGTTAAGAAATAATTATAAACAGAAATAAAAAAAATGGACAAGACCACTAATGAGCGCTGTATACGATCTATTATTTTTGCCACCTAAAAATGTTTATAGGTACGGGTAAAAATAGTATCGGATGACGTTGGAAATGTCACGATTTCCATCTATTCCGTTTAAGTAATTTATGGCAGAAATATGCGTAGTAGGTTTTTAATAGAAGGCGAAGTATAAAATGTCGGATGGACTTCTGCATAAAAATTATTAATCGCAGCGCTTATTGATCGTCTACCAAATGTTGAATAATTTCACACCTCGGTCGTTTAGATTTCCAAAGCAGTCCGTCCTAAAACGACCTTAACATTTCGTCATTTTGGTGCACTTGAAGCGGAAAGGAAAGAACAAAAGAAAGTCTTAACAATAATTAAAATTGAGGTTTGATTGTTTCCGGATACCCAGATCCGCCAAATCTCGCTGGTTTGGACTGATATAGTGTTGGCATTTCGCCGAGTTCAGCGGTGGATTTTCGTTTTCTCGCACCGACGACCGAATATGAAGAAACACGAATGACAGAAAGCAAGACTAGGCGGACCAGGAAACAACCAAACTAAAGGTTTAATCAAGATCTGACAACAATAAAAGAGTTTGAACTTTCACCTGAGAAGCCTTTTGTCGTCTGAGCAAACACAAACTGGTTATGTCATGATTGGTTATATCATGTAATGACAGACAACACATTGTATACATTTGTTTACAAATATTTTATGCACCTAAAATATTTGCCCCTTGATACGATCTTTAGATTGTTACCATTAAGGTACGATTATTACGTACAAGTTTACTTTGCTAGATTTCTGTATGTAAAACAAAACCGATCCTAAAATGTCACACACAAAAACACCCAGTAACACACAAAATTTCATATCTTTACTTGATACTGCTATAATACCATGAAAAACTATGTCTATGTCCTTTCTATGAACATAAGGAACGCGTCTAAAAAAATCGATCAAAATCGGACAAATAGATTTCGAGATTACATACAAATCAGCTTTCTCTCTTTACAATATGGGTATAAATTATAACAACCTAAATTTTGAGTCGAATGAAAAAATACTTTGCCAAAATCTACAAAGAACTAAATTTTCTTGTTTTATCGTTGTTGCGCACTACTAAACTGTTATAAAATTAACTGCAATAAAATTTTGCATACTATGGCGAAACATAATGTTGAAACCGTGTATGTATTAGTAGTCATAATTGATCGTATCAATTATTTAAATTAATTATACTTTTTACGTAAGGTCTTGGTTAAGGTGAAAAAGCTAGGACCACGAGCGGGATTCGAATCCAATTATATTTGAAAATTTGAAAGGTTGTACGTTGAGAAGAGAAGTCGGTGTCCCAGTGGATTAGAGCAGCGGCGTATGGTTCGTGGGTTCGAACCTCCCTCGTGACGCTAGCTTTTTCATCTCAATCAGGACCTTAGATAAAAAGTATAATTAATTTATTATTTATTTACTTAAAATTATTTAGTATTGTGAAATGTATTGTGAACCGTCCTCCTTAGCATAAGTTTGGAATAGTTGCTAAAACTAGTTAAAAATAGTTATAAGGAATTTCAGGTATTTTATGTTGGAAATAAGGCCGTAAATCTGAAGGGTTGCCTACCCAAAATGGAGCAAAGAAACTTTCCCACAAACCTGGAGGTCATAGAAACGAATAGCCTCACTAAATAATGACAGTCGAGGAGTTATTTACTTAGGGTAGGAAGGATGTCGCAGACACAGTTTATCCGTCAATCGGGTGGGCATGTTTCACTCCTCGCCGGATGTCCATCGACATGTATCAGGAGATTGCGTAAGGAAAACTGACAATATTACGAGTTATTGTACGGCCAACCCTTGCAAGAAGGAAGTTGATCATCTGGCAACAGTTTTTGCTTTTCCTTCCCTCCCCTACCCTGGTTGGGAAACCGGTATAAAAGGGTATGATTTGGAATTTTGGAAACAAAGCCAGTCAACTCGAGTACTCAGTCGGTGGCTCACAGAGACAATTGAAGGCAGTAGCCGAGACACGACGCCGATTGTACAGGGCCGAGACGAGTCGACTAGAGTCGACTGTCGTGTGTTTCGGAAGCATCGGACAGGAGGATGGATTCGGCTTGCCAGAGCCAGGAGGATTCAGTGAGAACACACTGTAAGAATAGTAAACTTGTGCTAAAACGTTCTTCACCAAGACGAGCAAACTACTGTTACAGTTAGAGAGGGTTAAACTCAGATGAGTGATAGGACATATATACCGGCCACTGGCATCTGAGAAAACATCTACACAAGATAGGCATATTCAATGATAATCTCATTTATAGATTATGCAATAAGGAGGAAGAAACACCCACCTCATCTTCGAATGCAAAGGAACTGCTCAATGGAGACATAACCTGAGATAAAAAGGAAACCCAAGGAATGAAATTGTACAAACGACAGTCAATGACTTAGTACTTCTTAGGAGAAGGATCGACTTTGCTTCCTTTTGTTTCAAAACTACTCGAAAAAAAATGTTAAAAGGCAAAAATATAACATCAGATTTCAGTTTAATTTCAAAAAAGGAGTAAGTCGTTAAGATTGAAAAGTAGTTTGGTCGAGTCCCATCACCCTGATCTGCCTATTGTTGATACTTTTGTTTGTCAGGCACGTTTCCGTAGTTCAATCTTAAGTGATTCGTTTTTCGCATTTTCTCACACAAATACAACCCTTAAGATAGCGAAATATCTTTAGGATATCAAATAAATATATCATAAATCAAAATATCTCAAAATAAGCGACTGACAGACCACCAAGCGAGACTAGGATGATCGGGAACGACCAAATTTCCAAATTCATCAACTCGCAAATTTCACAATGAGTGAAAAGGCCTTGGAAAAAAAAACGTTGACCAGCATATTGATGTAATCAAATACAGCTATTGATACGCTGGATTCAACTATAAACTAAGCGGACGTTTGCCTGAATATTTAGCTTATTAAAGTCTTATGCTTCAGTGAAAGTTCTTTTATTCAAGAAGGAAGATGCTCACTCTGTACTGAGAGGAAAATAGGAAGAAGTTCTACAAGGCAGTCTTTTACTTACTAAATCGTAGTGATACCGAATTAGTGACGATAGCTTTGCTTAAGACACAGCTTGAAATAGCCAACGTTAAAAGAATCAAGTACGTCTTTCATGACTATTCCACGAACAAGGATCTGCCCCCCTGCTGCAATATAAAAGCCAATACCGGTAGAGAAAAAAAATGAATATTAAATTTAGAATAAAACGTGATGAATATGAAATTCCTGTCAATCTACAAGAAAATACTGCTATTCAATGATCAAGCATGGGCATATTAAGTTGTGTCTGAAAGACCTGCTTAGAAATAATTCATTCTAAAAGTATTGCCAATTCCTTTTAGAACTTCAGAAACAGCGACATCTATAGGGTCTTGGGATGGATGCCATTAGCAAGAGCATTAGCATATTCACCAAGACTTTAAAATACGTCAATGTCGAGATCATAGCCTTCATAGTATGAATGAGAACACTCCAGAGAACCAAGTTAGTGCTAGTATGTACTGAGAATTTGCTTAGACTATTTTTTTGATGTAGTAGTTTATGTCGCAGGAATAAGAACTTACCTTATTCTGTAGCAGCTCCTTAAGCCTCTCTTGAGGGCTGGCGCCCTTTTTCGTCCTTATGAGGAGGAATATTGTCTCCAAGCCTGGACATGATCTGAGGAGCTTCTCGACCAGAGCTTTGCCCACGAAGCCAGTGGCACCGGTCACCAGGACGCTTCCGCCCTCGTAGAAGCTCTGCACGGTCGACTCGAGGCCCCTGTTGTTATTACCGTCCTTAGACATCCTCAAAACGGCTTCATTTAAGCTGTAATCAGATAAATTTATTGTTACATAATAAAGAGAAAAGTATCTTTACATTGTAACCCCCAGTCTGGTTCGTCCAGACCAAACGAAAATTTTGTACGGGCGCCAGATAGTCTTTTAACTATCAAGGGGGGAAACAAATGTTGGCGGCCAGGAGATAGCCAGGAGAGACGGGAGGGTTCGCAATGGACCTGACTGTTTGTTAAGTGAAGAAATTAAAGAAAAACAAATAAATAAAAGTGTGATGGTTAACTAAATATATTTACACATAACAAAATGAAAAAAACTTATCCTAACTTAAACCATATACATAAAATTTAGGTCTTTCACAGACAATAAAATGCCTGAAGTGAGCACTCACTCTTTATCTTCTCCGAGACAGACACGAGACAGTATCCGAACGGAAATGATATTCCGGGAGATGAAAAATCTTCGAACACGCTCGTAGGACGACTCGTGGAATCCTTACAACATATCTAATTAGGGCGATTCTGTGCGTTTTTTAAAAAAGTAACAGCAAAATTTACATTCATGAACATTCCGAGGAAAATAAATCCATATATTATATATTGTATGGTTCATTAGAAGATCGAATATTTTGAAAGTGGTGGTTTTGATAATTGGAAGATAATTTGATAGTAGCTAGACGAGTAGAAATAACTGATCAAGGTATATCACCTGCAGATCTCCAGAAAAATGTCACTTTCATTTTGATATGTCCAAAGATTATGGATACTATTATCCAAAATTATGCAGTAACAAAAAAAAAACACTTGAAATTTCTTCTATGACCAATATTATATTGGAATAAACAATACTAATCAAGGTTCTAATGTACATGGTTGGAATAAGTATAGTTGCCGACGTTTAAACCATTTCTACATCGCAAATCGGTTTCTGAAACAAAATATAGCAAACTAAACTTTTTCTAAGTCAGGCTTAGCCCAAGGTAATCATCGTTAGTTAAGTTTTGAGAAGTACTTAGTATTTGGAAGTCTTTATACTTTTTTAATGGTGACCCATATTTATTTACGTATAAAACTTTACAATCACACATTAGCACACATTTCTTTTCTTTTATTTGCCAAGGATCCTGTTAAATAAATTAACTATGAGGAAAATTCTATGTATTTAAATGATCTAGATTATTAAAATGGACCTTGACATTGAGAGTGTGACAGGATGGAGATGAGAGAATGTGCATACCTTGACCATCTTTTATAAAAAGAAAAGAAGAAGAAATCAGACTGCGTTAGTTGGTGATAAGAATTTTCTTGAGGAATTTCCACCTACAGTGTTGGGCAAGACCATCTAACAAGGCCGACCAAAACGCAAAATCAGTAACGACAAAATTACTCATAAGACTTCTTTCATTTTCTTAAGGATAAGCTGAAAACTCTGATTGTTCCAATTTTGCTACAAGTCGTTTTGTTATTTAAAAAACATTGTGAGAATATTTGTTTAGCTAATTAGTAACTATGAATTAATTTATGTCAATGAATGCATCCAAAATCTCCAAAACCTGGGGAAACACGTCAACCTGATGATATCTTGGGTGCCAGGGGGAATTTTGGGTAACGAAAAAGCAGACACACTGGCCAAAGGAGGATCTTCAAGACCATAAATAAGCCCCAAACTTGAGATAACACAAATACGGAATCTTCCATCGCAGAATGGATCCAAACAAAATAAAAGGAGAATTGGATTAACTCTAGCCGCGCTCGACACAGTAAACTTAACAACAACCCTCACCAAGACTGGCAACTGCACTCTGCTGCAATTGGAGAGGGCTAGACTCAGAGGAGAGATAGAATTATTAACCGATTACTTATATCTGAGACATCTATCCAATATGGGCATATTTAACGATGATCCCATCTGCAGACTATGCAATGAAGAAGAGGAAATAGCCACCATAACATCTTCGAATGCGAAGCAACCGCTCAATGGAGACATAACCTAGCATATAGAAAAAACCTAGGGAATGAAATTGCAGCAGCGACAGTCAGTGATCTGATACTTCTAAGAAGAAGGGTTGAGTCTATTACACTGAACTAAGTAACAAGTAAGGTACAATAAGCCAGCTGCAGTGCCTGGGGAGTACAAACTCCCTAGTATCCTTATTACCATACTAATAATTAATTAATTATGTAAAGGTTATTGTATTATCTGTATTGAACGATTAGATTGAAGATTTATAAAAGGCGAAGCAACACGTTTAGTATCTTGCTTGGGATTCGAGATCCATTCCAAAAGAACTCTCAAGAAATGCAAAATGGTGAAGCCATAGGGTAGCAGCTGCCACGGAGAAGAAAGCCCCACGAAAAGCCCTCTGGGTAGGTTTGATAAAGGTGGGTGTACACTGGGGTTAGTCACTGGTCAGTTGGTTACGAGCCAATTACAGTGTAGAGTTACTCACTGGTCAGTGGCCAGTAATGAGTTAGAAGTTGGTTTTTGAATGAGACAGTTGCAATTTGCAATAAATTTGGAGACCTAGATTTGGAGGAGGAGTGCCTGGCTTTGGCTTAGGTACCTCACTTTTTATTTTAAGCTGTTAATAATCGTTGTTTTGAAATGTGAAGACCTAGACTTGTTTTAGCGCTCCCAAAATGACCTCCAAGATTCTCTCTCTCTCTCTCTCTCTCTCTCTCTCTCTCTCTCTCTCTCTCTCTCNATATATATAAAACTTCTCGGAGGTCTATGCTTTTTGGAAATAATTATAATTTTGTACAAATTTTAAGGCTATTGAGTTTAAAATGAACCTTTTTTTTTACGAGGGTTCGCAACTGCAGAGGTCATATAAACCCTCAGAATGCCGGTTTTTTTCGAAAAAAAGCCCATTTGTAAATATGTCGGGTCGAATGTAGGGCCGCTGGATTCGAACCCGGGACCTTTACCTTACAGTGATGAGCGCCGTGTCAAAGACTAAACCTTGCGGCCACCGACGCCCCCACCTTTATATATTATCTTTACGTATAATTTCTAAATTGATTTTGATTATTTCTCAAGGCACATTTATTTACATATTTATACCTTATTTTTACGACTTTGTTTAGTTTGGTCTTTCAGACGCCATTTTTGGTTTTCGGGTTATGTATTTCTCTCAGTCGAAACAGTGAGGAATTTAGAGACTAGATTCATCACCAAATCCCATGGAGGTATCTCACCTTATTTTCTGTTTCACAGTCAAGCTAAAATTTGTAATTAATTTCATAACATGTGAATTGATTCCTGCAGAATGAGTTTAATCAACACGCTGTTCCAAATATTATAAAAGGGAATGAAACGCTAATCAAAAGAAAAATTTGATATATTATAATTATATAATTCATTGGTCAAGCGGACCACGAAATTAGTGAATTTGAGAAAAATGTGATTTATACCATAGATGATGGCTACAGAATGCAGCAAGATTTGTTCAATTTTTCAATTGTTATTCTCAAAAAGGTATTTGTGATAAATAATTTTCATCTCTTTCATTAAAGGTTTGATTTGTAATAATTTATATCACAGCAAGAATGAAATAACACATAAATGTACTGGCACCCCATAAACAGATCTGTAAGTACGTCAGCCACCTTGTTAGCCGGTTGCTAAACTTATTTGTTCAAAGACATTGTTTGTTGTTTCCTTTCTTTAAAAACAATTTCTTAATAGATTAGTGACGAAGAATGGAAAGTGGATTCTATTCAATACATACCGCCAGCGATCACGGGGAAAGTCAAGCAGAACTATAAATTAAAAAGCGATCATTTCAATATCATCCCCCATAAAACAAACTAAAGGTAAACATGAATAAAACAATAATAAAGCCCACACGTGCAATTAAGTCTACATAATAATTACCTAACCAAATCGTTTGGAAGGGCAAAAACTATTATCATTCACATAATGCGATTTTGGGAGGACGGAGAAATGATTTTGGATTTATATAACCTCAAATCTGCACACACATTTACCTGTGCCTATCACTTCTCGCAGTCAACGGCTACTTCGAGTTTTCGTAATTTGCAATAAATTACCGGATCTTGAGAAACACCCACCTCGGTTGTTGGAAGTACGGGGTCATACCTCGATCTCATCTATCCAGCCATCGAGGTGCTCCGCGTGCTGGCAACAGCTAGGGTAACCTAAGCATGCAGTCCCTAGATCCAAGCCCATTCACACTCTCATTCATTCTAAAACTCATTCTCTCCTAATTATACAACAGTCACTCAATTGTTGGTGATGTACTCGGCATTCCTCCATCACCCTTTTCACTTATTATACAACTAATCTAATTCAATGTCTACCATTGAAGGTCCAATATTCCTCCATTGACCATCTCACACTGCACATAAATACATTCATTCACCCTTAAATTAGGTGGACACATCGTGCAACCTTTCTAATCATGCCGGACAAATTCGCGGATTTTTTTTTATAAAAAGATAATTATAACAATGATATTCATATTTCACATTTCATTAAAAAGCTTACATTATATTGTATTAGCTTTATAATTTATTATTATCATCCATATTGATGGAAGAAACCGTATAAATTGCCGACACATCCAAATAAATATAAATAAATAATGTATTTATTTATTATTTTTTATTATAAATGTTTCTAACATAAACCAAAAATTTAAACAAGACAAATTAGTCCTGAAAATTCCGTGTTAAATGACACATCTATGTTGCAACGCGCAACCAACCCATGAATAGTTAAAGGAGGGGCGTCGGTGGCCGCAACGGTTTAGGCGTTGACACGGTGCTCATCACTGTAAGGTAAAGGTCCCGGGTTCGAATCCAGCGGCCCTGCATTCGGACCCGACATACTTACAAATGAGCTTTTTGTTTTTATAAAAACACCGGCACCCTGAGGGTTTATTATGACCTCTGCTGTTGCAAACCCTCGTAAAAAAAAAATAAATAAAAATAGCTAAAGGAGGAAAAATAAAAATAGTTTATGTACTTACGTCTCGACGAAAGAAAAGCTCTGACGGACGAATTTAAT